ATTATCAAATTGCTAGTTTGATAACGTCTTTTTTTTCAAAATTACTCATGAGCACGACATGTGAACGATAAGCCTTAAGAGAAATGGGAGTAGTTTACGGGTATCTCTTATTGTCTTACCCTAACCATTGATGACAAACGCTGCTGTAGGATACCCCAATCCACAAGGAGGAGCATCTCTCCTGCTCGCATTTCGATTGCAGAGCAGTATCACACTTGTGTTAGGTTCGGGACCGCTTGCAGCTTCCAGAGCTTTCGCAGCATTGGATGCCGACTCCAAAGTTGTTATACTCGCGACTGGTGGCCTGACCTCGGCTTGCGAAGAGGTCAAATGGAGGGCCGAACAGGGACAGCTCACGCTCATCGACTGGGATACATTACCTGGATCATCGACTTCTTCTGGAGACGATAAACTCCTCGAGGCACTGGAATCTTACTTGATTTCCACGTCGGACATTCGTCTTGTCTGTATGACAGATACTCTTATCGGTGGTCGGCGAAACCGAGTCTTTTCCGAAAAGGTCTATCAAACTTGCAGGGCGCGTAATATTCCAGTTAATACTACGGATATGCCGGATCTCTGCGACTTTACGTTCGCGTCTACCCATCGTTTCGAGGACGCCAGCGGTAACGCCACTTCGCTCCAGATCGGGGTAACTACCAACGGGCAAGGTTGTCGATTGGCCGGGCGTATCAGAAGGGATATCGTGTCGCGGCTCTCCAAAGACGTGGGAGGTGCAGTGCAACGTGTAGGGAGGATGCGTATGCTAGCAAAAGCTAGGGCAGTACAGAAAGGAGAGAAATAATCCGATGAAGAAGACGAGGGCGACGAATTGGAGGAAAATAGCCGTGTCTCAACGCCGAATAGACCGGTACCCTCCAGGAGTACCAGCGAAACCGATGCAGAGAGTTCCAAGCGACGTATCAAATGGGTAGCTCAGGTCAGCGAATACTGGCCCATATCCAAACTGGCCCAAATGTCCGATGCCGAGATAGAGGAAGTCCTAGATGGCGAGCGGATTCCTGTACCGTCACCTCCGCACGAACACTCCGAATCAGTCCTACCCTCTATCCACTCCCTCGTCCTTCCGCGTAAAGGGAGAATTCTTCTCGTTGGTTCCGGACCAGGACACCCTTCCCTCCTTACTCTCGCGACACACACTGCACTGACAAAGATGGCCCACCTCGTGCTCTCCGACAAGCTCGTTCCCGACGTAGTCCTTGCACTTATTCCGAAGACCGTACAGATTCGTATCGCGAAAAAGTTCCCGGGTAATGCTGAGGGGGCTCAGATGGAGATGATGGAAGCGGCCGTTGAAGCTGCCCAGCGCGGGTTGACCGTAGTCCGGGTTCGTCCCATGATTCATTCCATAGATCTGCTTTTCTAATATCGAATTCTCTCATAGCTGAAACAAGGCGATCCAGTTGTATACGGCCGCGCCGGTGAAGAAGTCCTCTACTTCCGTTCGCATGGCTTTGAGCCCGTCGTCATCCCTGGTGTAAGCTCTGCCCTCGCCGCGCCCACATTCGCAGGGATACCCGTCACCCAGCGTGGCGTCGCAGAATCCTTCATAGTCTGTACAGGCGTAGGACGCAAGGGGAAGGACGTTCAATTACCAGGCTACGAACGCGCACGGACGCTCGTCATCTTGATGGGTGTTGCGCGGCTTCCGGCCGTTATCCAAGTGTTAATGGATGAGCAGGCGCAGGAAAGAGGGAGAAGGGACGGCAAGGCGTACCCTCCCCACACGCCCATAGCGATCATTGAAAGAGCATCGATGCCGGATCAGAGGGTTATTAGTTCGACGTTGAAGGATATCGTCAGGGCCATGGATAGTATTGGCGAACAGAGACCACCGGGGATGATGATTATTGGGTGGGGGGTCCTGGCACTTTGGGGAGAGGGGGATGTAGGGGTGCTTGATGAGGGAGGGGAGGGGATGGATGAGGAGCGAGTAGGGAGGTGGCTGAAGGGTAGAGATAAGATGGGTGTGGCATGGAGAATTAGTGAGGGGTTGGATAGTGGTTGGGAGGTTTTTTAGTGGTGATGATTTCCTTGTCTATCAACATGACATTGCATAGAATTTGAAATAAGCATGAAATAAACAGACACTCTAGAGTCTAGATACTTTTGCAATAGCAAGAACTCTTGTTTTTCGAGACCTACTCAGATCATCCAGGGAATCTGGCTATTTTGATTCCTAGGACATTAGACAATAAATGGGGTTCTATGCAGGAATACAATCAGCCAACAGTATGTTGATACATGTCCTTTCACTAAATTTGTAGTATTGAAGGTGGACCCTTTAGATCAAGGACTTGACGCACCTATGCAATGACCGTACAGCTGACGTCTTCTGAAACCTCTGAAGGAGGATCAGGCTCCTTCGATACTTGGTCACCGTCCTTAATTGCCACTTCCAACATCTTCAAGTAAAACTTAGCCAGCTGATAGCGTATCTTGAATCCCGTATTCAGGGGGTCTTCTCCCTCACCAGCGGACAGAATATCGTGCACCTTCCTGAGTCCTTCTAAGACGATCGCATGAACCTTCTCCCGTTTCGATCCCGTGAGTTCTCTGAACTCGTCGAAGTAAAAACTGACGATCACTGGAAAGAAGTTGCTAACTGAACCACCGTAAAATAACTTGCGAAATTGGGCAAGTGATGCTTGGAAGTCGGAGGTGTCCAAAGAAGAGAGGCCTGAGCCATGGTGCTGGAGATACGAGAGACGGAGGTATGCGAGAGTGATGTCTGCTTCTTCCTCCGAAGCCTTCTTGATTTTCACTTTAGAAACATATTTCCAGGTCAAAATTACAACGGTAGTTCCTGCCGTTTACAAAAACGATCAATAAGATAATTTATAAGTAGTAAAGAATAAAAAAGGCCACAGACCGTATAAGGTCCATTTGAACCATGGTCGAGGTTTACCATCTTTTTGGTACCACACTTTCATTGTCCAAGGTAAAACTTGACGATATGTCTTGTAATATGTTGCCGGCCCGGGAGGAGGAAGACCGGCATGATAGAATGCCCTCTCAGACGTCATTTTAAATGCATCCCATCGGAGGCGCGAGACATTGCGATGAACCGCCCAACGAACCAACATCATGGAAGGCGGGGTTGGAGTTGAGATATGATGATCTATCTACATATTGGTATAATTGTGGTATCAATAGAACATTTCGATTGTGAAATCAGAACTCGATCGCATGACAACACCACAACCACCACCGGTCGCTCCGACTCACCTACTCCGAACTCATTCTTCCTCCGTTAGCACTGTATTCGTCTCCTCTGACAACGAGCGTATCTATTCTGGAGATGCCTCTGGCCTTGTCGTCGTCACCTCCACTCGTTCATTACGCCCAATAACGAAGTGGAGTGCACACACTGACTCTCTGTTAGGGATCGAAGAATGGGGTAATCGCGTCATAACGTATGTGTTTCGTTTTTGTCGAATTATGCAGCGGCATATTATCTTTTTTTCTCGTCTAAGCCACGCAAGGGACAACAAACTGCACATCTGGACGCGAGTTCAAGAACTACCACTCTCTGCGCGAGTTGGGTCTGTCGCGCAGTCTGTCGGGGAACAAACGATTCCGCAACTATGCTACTCCATGGATGTCAATGCTCTCAACTACTGTCGCTTCTCGCTCTTACCTAATACTAGCGACGAGGCGCAGGCACTTGTCGCACTGCCGAACCTGGTAGACTCTACTTCTGTACGTCCGAGTACCACTTAACATGTGACCCACCTTTCATCCTACATTAGGCAGACATTTGGACTCTTCCATCATGCAAGCGTATACATGCAGCAGTCGGACAGACAGGAAAGGTATCATTATTCAATTCTAACCCAACGGAGAGGTCTAAAACGGGTATGTAGCTTGATAAAGCTGTCAAATCCATCTTGTCGTTAAAGCAAGTTTTAATAACAGGCATAATAATGTCTCTTCATGTCTTTATGACCCCTCAGGATGAACCGTCATCATCCACGTCCGGCTGTGAGCTGAGGCTGCTCTGCGCGTACGAAAGTGGTTCTGTGACATTGCGAAGATACGCCAGAGCCGATAAGGCAACGTCTGTCGAAGGTGCTGGTTGGGAAGTCATTTGGGATGTGAAGGTGCATGCAGAGACTAGTATGTGTTTTTCGTTTCCCTTCACTTTTGTAGAACTCGGTTTTGTTACAGTCATGGCTATGCGTGTATCCAGAAATAATCGTTTTGCGTTGACGGTTTCAGCTGATCATTTGGTTGGATGGTATGACCTGACGGTATGCCTTCCTACGTCGTGGTACTCCACACGCTGATTTCGAATTCAACATGGAAGAGTAAGGATACAAAAGCTGTGTGCGTCTCCCACCGTACCAAGCACCCAGGGAACGCGGCGATCGCAATACATGATAATGAACGCGTCAGTGCCATAGCGGGCTGGGATGGAAGGTAAGGAAGTCTCCCGTACTATAGCTAGTGACGGCGCGAATGCTGTTCATACGGCCCAGTATCCGTCTATACTCGACGCGGACAATGAAGCCACTCGGTACATTGAAATATCATAAAGCAGGCTGTCAAGGTGTGGAGTTTGCGCACTCTCTTGACACGGTTATGACGAATAATGTGGATGAAGAAGTCAACGATGATAGCGACAGCGAAGAAGAATTGAGTGAAAGCGAAAAAGAAAAGCGCGCTCAATGGTTAATAGCCGGGGGAAAGGATAATCGTGTTTCGATATGGACTTTGATGAACTTTGCGAAATCATGAAAGTAGTATCGTTCACAGGTTGTTGTAAAAATTGTGAATTGCAACACATCTACACTAGCTATTTTGAACCGGTTTTGGGGAACTGTTAATCTAGTGTCCCCCTAGACACGCCGATTTGAAACCCAAAAAGATCAGTATCAGATGCTTCCCGGCTCTCGAAAATGCGATGGATTGTGCAATTGTCCTCTGTGTTTCCACCACCCATGCAGCTAGGGGCTTGACGACCTTCTAAGGTTCAGACACTGATGGTGAAGTGGTTATCATGCTTGCCTTCCATTCTTTGTGGTAGCAAGCGGCAGGGGTTCGATTCCCCTTCAGTGTATGCATTAGTTTTGTCGTTGTTTGTCTCTCCATTAGAATTTTAATTGTGACTGCGATGGCTTATAGTTTTCGCTCGCGGCCTTGGATTTTCTCGGATGAATGCTACCTCCCTAATTTGACAATTTTCAAATACATGACGACAATTCAGAAGAAATGACGCGGGGAACTTCCAATGATACCTAAACGGAACCGACATTAGACTCGGAAATTAAGGTCTGATACACCCGATAGATAGTCGCCTTCAATCTTTCTACCGCCGCTATCCACCATCAAGTCATTGGACATTCAACTGACTTCTACTCCCCTCAGCGTCTGCAAACGCCTTTTCAACGATCGCCAACAACTTCAATGTCGTCTTCATCACATAGTCCTCCACTAATAGAGCCTTTTCGAGGGGTTCATCTCCATTGAAGGAAAGGAATGTTTGATGCAGCTTCTCGAGTGAATTCAATAAAAGAGCATGGACTTCCTCTCGTTGTGATCCCGCCAAGTCACTCATGAAAGTCCAGATTATAGAGTGGCGCCTAGATGAGGGAACGTTAACCTGGGAGAACCATATCTTCTCGAAGTAGGTGAGTAGATGGCCATAATTTGAGGTGTCGAGGGAGGAGAATTCTGGGTAGATACGCTGCAGGCATACAAGACATCGGAGAGCGTCGTTTTTTGATTTTGTGACAACGTATTCTGCCTTCGCCTTCTCCTCGTCACGGAAGGCCCACGTCACAAGAGCGGCGCAGCAAGCTATAGTTCATCAAAATAATCAGTAAAACGATCGACATGCTATTGAAGTTACAGACCGGTCCGCAACATAGTTCCTAGTAGTGGGAAAGACGATCGAGGTGTCCCGTCGTTGCGATCCGTGTTCGCTGTCCCATTGAACGTATGATAGCTCGAGAGACCGGATAATGATCTCTCAGATCTTGCTTTCCATGCAAACCATCGTCCTTGTGAGGATAAACAAGTCGCAATCCGACGGGCGAGCATCTGGTCGGGATATAAGGACAAAAGACATCGGTTGCGACATCCATGATAGGGGCAACTCTTACCAGACTCACGTAAGCGCTCTCTCACAAAACGTGGTTGTATGTGGCTTTCGTGAGAAAGTGTGGACAAAGAAAATTCATTTTCGAGGCACCAGAGAGCGTCTTGAGAGGGTCTGTAGTTGATCTGTGGGCTTCTCACTGGCACTTGAAGCTCTTCAAATCAGATCTATGCACTTTCGATCATAACTACTGTCGATCATAACTATAAGAACGATGCCTGAAGCGTATTGTGTCAGTTGATATATGCCAAAACAACCGCTAATAACAGGAAATCCGTTCGTTCTGCTGCAGGATACCATTCTGTCAAGCATGGTAGATTATCTTCCTTCTACTCCAAGGGAATCATCCATATTTTGTCGATGACGAACGGTTGCTCAGCATATGGGGTTTGGTGCGAGACTTCGACGGCTAAGACGTAAATTGCGTCGACGTATTGGAGAAGCTGTAGCTTGAGAGGCTGTGAGAATATACTGACATTACAAAATTCAACTTACCGTCTACCCCACGACCTCATACTCGCCGTTCTTCGGGGCGCGGTCCTTGGACGTCATACCTTGAGCCGCGGCATACACCTCCGCCATCCTCACATTGTAATCGACGTCAGACGCGTGATCAAAGAGGATAGTCATTGCGGACACAAGTGCTTCGGCCAAACAACTAGCCGTGCCGTACGCCGTCTCCAGCGGATCCTGTCCTTTGCTGTCGATCAACATCCGATGAACCTCTTCAATTGCCCCTCGTACAATCGTATGGAGCTCTTCCCGTTTCTCTCCAGTCAAATCGTTTGCGACAGTCCAAAAAACGTCGCGGCGATCTGGCGTGATCTCAAAACAGAGAGAGCATATTGAGAAGAAGTAATGGGCTACGGCATTGAAGTCGGTTACGTCCAATGAGGAAAATTCAGTGTCCATGCGTTGGATGTGCGCAAGCAGGCCGAGAACGCAGTTGGCCTGTTCCAATTCCTCTATGATCTCTACTTCAGCAAGAAATACTGCAAGAAGCAACACGGTGATAGAGCCTGCATTTTCACTCCTCAGTCTTTAAGCAACGACAACAATATTTGAAGTGACGACGAACCTATCACGAGGCCTTTGATCTTTGAACGAGGTGTCCCATCTTTTCGATACCAGATTCTTGCTGACCACGTTGATGGGCGAGCTTGACTCGAAAGATATGATCGTGGAGGAATATGAGAGAACGTCCTTCTAGACAAAGCATTCCATCGCAAGTGTGAAAATGAACGAGAACCTGTCCAACGGACCAACATGTATGGGGTGGAAAAGGAAATAGTTTGTCGCTGTTGGTTTTGGGCCTTATCAGATTTGGACTTGGACAGTCCCAAGTTTCAACCCCTGTGAGTTATCATATCTTCAATGTCCGCTTATACATGAAGGCCGAAAGTGAGGTCTAAGGAGATCATCTATGTAATGTCTGGCAAATTTGGTCACTGCGTCATAGTGGTGGTAGCCACTTGGTGGTATGCTACTCAAGATCAAGGGTGCACCACTACAGTGGCCCGTGGGCTTGTAGATTGCTTGTGGATATGAATACTAGTCCGAAATTTTAAGAGTACAAAGGTTCCCAAGAAGTTAATTGAGTAATAAATCCGTGTAATGTGTGCGAGCGAAGCCCACCCGCTTGTTAGTGGTGTCGAATGAAGTATAGAAGCGTTCAAGGAATGTGTAGCCATTGATAAAATCCAACCCGGAACCACTGGGTATACCGATGTCCGCAACTATCAGATACAGACAATCCTTGCTTCCCCCAATAGCTGTGTTCAAGGAGCGAGGCCATAACTGCGCATTGGGCGTGAGCTCAAAATTGCTCTTTGAGAAAGCAAAGGCTGCATTAGTTAGAATTTCCCTGCATCAAGTCAGGCTGAGCTTACTCCTGAGATCTGGAAAACCAAGTTCTGGAGTTGGCCAAATTGTGTAGCGTTTATGCGAAGCAATCCTGTGTCTTGGTCTAGGACTGCACCAACAGCCTCGCGATACTTGTTAAAGGCGTCGGTGGCAATGAGTACCAGAGTGCTACCTGTTAACAAGCCCTCAGTAATGGTGAAAACAGAACGGAAAGAATACACACCCGTGTCGACAACTCCAGCTGATGTAAGTAACGTCTCAGATCCGTATCGAATTGTTTGATCTATTCCCCAATACGCGCTTGCGGGTTGGACAGACGTTACAGGCCTGTACTCATATAAGCATCTACCAATGGATTTTCAACTCGATGGCTCACGCAAAAGTTATTGAACCATTGATCTTGGACATGTCGACGCCGCCTAACAGTGATCTTAGTCATCCTGTACAGACTGACGAATATGATGATAGTCACCATAAGAAAGTTGCCCTGTGCCCTGGGAAGGGCTTGTGATTGGCTCAAAGTAGACGCCAATTTCATTTTGTCCGATATGTCCCTGTGCAAATGCTGTGTCTGTCACGGTAGGGATAATGTCATTTTTGGCTGGATTGAGTGTCCCCTGTGTGAGGTCTTTGGGGCCGATGCTAGATGTCCGGAAGATAAGCGCGGTACAAGATGATGTAGAGTAAATCTGACCCCAGAATGCCATCGATATCTAGCCCTTGTGACTTGAAAAGATGGCTTAATGTAACGAAACAATAAGCGGAGAAAACAACAACTTACACTGGAGGCAGCACCAATCGACTGATTGACAAGGACCAGATCACTGCTCAACGCCACAGTATCCAAGTACTCCTTCCCTGATTTTTCAAGACAGTTGGGTAAGCCACGACTCTTTCGAAACAGGTGGCGATGATGACCCACCTGAGAAGGAACCAGAACCATATTCGACGCTCTAAGTGACAATATCTGAATGAACTCAAATGTGGAACAAGTAAGGAACTGCTCGCTCACCACTGTATTTGACGTTTCCACACTAGAATTGGTGATTTTATAGGGATTCTTTAGTTGAGCGCCGATCCAGATGTTGGAACTGGCCAATTAATCAGCCTCGCTTGGACTATCGTAAGAACTGAATCAAAAGCTTACCTTCCCGTATCGACGAGTACCTCGTCTTGTAGGTCGAGTTAGTGATCTGCTATTCATTGACATGATCTCAATTCAACCTACAGGTCGTCGGGGGAGTGCCAACTCCGATCTTGGTGGTATAGAAGTTGAAGGCATTCATGGCTTGTTCGTTGTGAACTTCGTCCCGAATCAACTTAATGTCGCTGAGTGATCCGCCTACCAGCGACTGGGCCCGGCCACGTAAAAAGTTGGCCCTGGCAACATCGCGAAGAACAATATTCTTAAAATTGCCAAGGCTGAGGTCGAGACGTCTCTTGAGAGGGAAGTTGACTGGAGAGTCGCGACGAATTGCGACCGCGCGAGTCATGGGTAAAGATATGGAAAGTAGGATAAAAAGAGAGGAAGAGACTAGCATGTTGTGAAGTCTGAAGAGGACATGATGTGGGCATGGGGTATTTTATACATCGTGCCGTTGACATGAAGGATGACCTAGCAGACTGTTCAAGGCATCAAATGATTGTCAAGTAGACACCTGGCCAACGCACTGATGCTATTCGGTACATGATTTCGTTCAGTAATAGTCTTCGGTGATCATAATCATGATGGATAATCGAAATACTGCACATACCTATACGTTGGGCCTTGATATGGTGGAGCTGCCAGTTTGGCGGTGGAAATTTAGTTTGAACTTTTGCGGTTGAAGGATTTTGTGGAATATATTGGATGATACAGTCAGTCGGCCATGCACTATCCTGGGCGTATAATCAAGTCATTCATTGGGCGTCCTTCATCTTTCAGCTAGATCAGATCAAGTTGATATTAGAATCAGAACCCCCTGGATGCCTCATATATATGAAATTGTGATAGGGATAGCATAATAAGATCCGAAATACAAGCTGATTCAGCCTAGTAACCTGATGAACAAAAGCCACACCTTCCAGATCGGACAGTCGTCGACGTTTGGATCGAG